GTTCAAAAGCAATAAAGAATGGCCCTGCCACGTGAGGTCAGCAAGTGTGAGAGGACTCCTGCCACCTTCTGAAATCCACTCACCTCAAGCAGTGTGACCCAAAAAGGAGCTATTAAAAATTATAAAGTAATTTTGATGGGCAGGCCTAAAACTTGCATTTTGTCCGTCAGCTGCCCTGTAACAGGGCTCCCTGGACTCCCACCAGCTTCGGCTGCATCATGCAATTGAAGAGCAGGTCTCTCCTCCTGTGCCAGCCACCGTCGGTGGTCAGCTCTGCTTTCTCCATTGGTGCTGCCAAAGTAAAGGGCTAAAGGCTGATGGCAGGTGTGGCAAAGAAAGGACATTGCCTTCCAGCCTGTACTATAATGCTAAACAACAGGAGTCATCATTAAATTCTCAACGGATGTGTATTGACACACCAAAATAAAACAGCTTCTCAGGCTGCTCCCCTCCCCTCTGAACCCACAGCACATTCTTCCTCCCAGCAAAGCTGTTGTGTCTGTTTGATGATACCAGGATTTGCTTCTGGTTTGCACTTCCACTGCTCTTATTCAGCCACACAGTTACACTCAGCTACTGCCCTACGAGCTGTCAGGGAAGTGGAAGAAGAAGAGGACCCCAATGCACAGTTCACCACTAAAGCAAGCTGCACCGTGCCAGCCACTCCATCCTCTTAGCCAAGGAGAGAGAGCACATGGAGCGCAGGGATAAAGCCACCTCTCTTGCCCTTCCCTCCCTTCCTGGGCAGAGGAGAGGAGCAGAAAGCATATCCTATTCCACACCTCTGGCAAGGGGAAGTAAGAATGCTATTTTATTATAATCTTATTATTAAAGCTCAGATGATGATGGCTGATGATGAGGTGCTACAAGGAGGAGTCCTCTCAGTGGGCTCATTGTCGGTGCTGGCAGCTCTGCCCAGGGGAGCTGAAGGCAACCCTTCTCAGGCAACCTTCTCAGGAAACCCTTCTCAGGCAACCCTCCTGCAGCAGTCCTTCAGCAGCCCCATGCTGCCTGGCTGGCTGGTCTCAGGATCCCTCGCTTGGGTCCCCAGAGGGACAGCGTGGGGTTACAGCAGGGCCACAGGCTTAACATTTGTCTAATACAAACCCCAGCCTGGGATGAAAAACACAAAAGGCACTGTTGTAGAGTTTTTTGAAATGCTGGAGCTGCTTTTCTCTGTATGATGGAAAGCAGATCCCCTCTCCTCTTATTTAATTTAAAGAGTAAAACCTTCGTGGTTTTGATTATTTCCTCTGTTTACCTAGCTTTAAAAATCAAATCCCTCATTCACAGGTAGCTTTAACTTAGATGGCTATTTTTTACATCAGCAAAGATACCAAACAAAAAACCCCTCTCCCCAATGGACACATTACTGGCATCAGGCTTAGGGTTTTGAGCTTTCTAAAGCCATTTTGAGGGCTTTATAAAGGCCCTTAAGCTTTTTCGAGCTTTTTATAGGCCACCTGGGAAAGAGCTCACCTCATAATACAGAGATAGTGAGTTGCTAGTGGGCAGACCTGTCTTCCCAGAAGCCTTTTCTAGAGCTGCACTTGGAGATTTTACTACCTACGAAGCAAGTGTAGGAGATAGATCCACTCCTGTGGTCTCATTAATAGCTCAGACCACTTAGAAACCTCCTTGGTGCTTAGCACCATGACCTCAAAGGCTGCACAGAGCCCCTGTGAATAACTGGGAATTGTCAACTGATCACCAAATTCACTATGCCAATATACAGAGCTCAGGGAGGTTCCAAACATACAACCCCTCCAGCTGGGCTCTCCTCACTTTCAGCAGTGTGAGGAAGTTTCATGCAGCTGTAGGTGGCTCTGGGACCAGTGTCTCAGCCATAATCACTCCACACTTAGCTCCACTGTGCAGAAGGTTTTGCTTGACTATACGGGATGTTAATTTTTGAGCTCTTTCTATCACCAAAGCTCTCTCCTGCAGCAGCTAAGCAGAGTAGCACCTCTGGTATGCTGAAGTGAGAGCAGGGGTGTGGTTACCACAACCTCAAGTGTCGTACAGAAAAAAGGGATTTATCCTGTTAGCACTGATATGCTCAGAGATGATGTACCTGGTCTGCTGTACTCTCATGGGCTGTGTGTTTCACCCGCAGTGAAATATTGTGCTATGGCTCAGTATCTATCATGCTGGTCACTGCTGGGATGGAACAGGATTTCAGCAGCAATCAGCTTCCCTTTGGCATTAAAAATACAAACATGTTGCCTATGTAAACAGAAAAATCACACAGTGAGTGTGTGTGTGTCTGATACAGGTAATAACTTTCTGAGAGCCACGCCTGGTGGTGGTATGTCAAGGGTAATACCTTGGTCATCAGAGAACCTTAACTCTGAATCTGTGGCATAAAACATACCAAATAATAAGTATTGCCTCCTTCATAATCACCTTACACACTGAGGAAGAGTCTCCAAGGGCAGGTGAGGGGAAGTACCTAATTTTAGAGTAAAAAGAGTCCTGTCTTGGGAACTGCATGGAAACGGGAGCCTGAGGAAAGGAAGATCCCACCTCTGCTGGTGCTGCAGTCGTGCCTCACATGCCAGGACACCCCTGTGGAGACAGGTTTTCCTGTGATGCCTAGAAACCAAGCTGGGGGAAGGCTTTGTAGAGTCTTATCACTCTTCAAGCAGTCACAGCACTGAAATATGAATGCGTTACACAGAAGAAATGAAGCAAATCCAAATCTGAGTCAGGAAATGATTTTATAGAGCTCCCACTGTGTCTGAACTCATCAAGCAAAGCCTTCATTTCCAATCCAATCCAAAAATCACTGAAGCCAAGTGCAGCCTGTTCACTGCTTCAGAAGGCTTTGGAGCAGCCCCTTTCTGAACCAGGGAGGGAACACATTTTGGAAAGGAAAATAAATGCATTATGTTAATTTTCAGCATCCCTCAAAAATGAGCACATTTACCTGCAAGCAAACAAAGAGTATTTAGGTAGTAGTTAAAATTCAAAAGACATTTCATCACAAATTGAGTGATGCATGCAATAGCAGAGCAATTTTGTCTTTTCATTTCCTCTCAAACATTTTATGCTGCACAGAACACTTTTGTACTCAATATTTTTGCAAAATTAATTGCCACGTCAATTTTCAGCAGGAATCACAGGTGAAAAGTTCAGGAGGTGAAGCTGGAGGAAAGTAAAGGACCTTTGCTCAGTAAAGAGCTGAGTTTTGTTTTGATGCAAAGGAGCTCTCAGGTAAAAGCACAAATTAAAGACAACTAGCAAAAAAGGACTGAGATGCCAAAATGAAGCAGGGTGAAGATTATCCTCTAAGTTAACTTCAAGCAACTGTGAGCAGTCAGAGAATTTTTACAGCATCTCTCCTGCTATGACTCATCTCTACTGAGGCCAAGAGCAATGGCCAGTGGGTCATGCACCTGGTCCTGCTGCCAGCTGAGCGTGACACACCTTGGGCCAGCCCTTGGGTGTCAGCTGAAGGACGGGGCCACGCACACCTACAGCAGCTGGATGTGACTGTCAGGGACCGGCCAGCAAGCCCTACCTCTGCCAGCCCTGGCAATGTGTTGACATGAAAACAAGGTGGGTGAACATGCCCATTTCTGTTGGCCTGCCTTCATCTGTGATTCAGTGTGCCCTTTCTCCAGGGGAAGTCTCTGGTTGCCCACGTCCTGCTGCATCGTGGAAAAACTGGCAGCTGGAGAAGAGCAGAGGGGTTTTGATGGTGCGAGGATGACAAGCAGGTTGACTCTACAGAGATGCTGGGCAAGGCTAAGCCTACGTGGATTTTGCTTTCAAGCTATTTCTAAAGATGAGATCAAACAAACATCACAGTTTTGTATAGCAGCTCCCCATGTTGTGCAGTCTACCACAGTTCCCATGGGAAGTCTACTGCACCCTTCCCTGCAGATTTCAGCAGCATGGAGGGGGAAAAAAAGGAAAATGTTTCAATACTGTCCATACTACTAGGATTGCTGCCCCAGACATGTTCCCCCTTGTCTCCCATGGGGTGACTGTATATCCCAAACAGGCCCCAGACAGTTTCATTCTCACATGAGCACCTGAAGCCAAGTGTGACCATTGCTGAAGAGCACCATCAACCCTGTTGAGCCCACTTGGTCCACAGATGGAGCTGTGCTGGTGGGAAGCCACAGCTCCAAGCTTTGCCCATGTTACAGGGGTTGTGGTGTAACTACAAGAGAAGGAAAAAAATGCTCTTTCAGAATCAGGCTGCAGCACATGGGTGACAGAGGCAGTGACACAGCTCTGCTCACAGGGTGAGAACGGCAGCAGCTTCTCCTGTGCAGAGCCCCCAAGCTTGAACTGATTCCAACCCATAACTCAACACAGGCCCTTAAGGAAAGGGCATTGTTACTATGTGATAGCTGTCAGTAGTCTACACAAAGCAATTACTTTCATCCCATTTCTTGGTGGTAGTATGCCTATAGCCTGGGTTAACCTAATAGCTACTTGTATCAGCATGTCTGAAAACTGGGGTTTTTTAGGCTTCCAGATAGTCCTACCAAAAAGTCATCACTGCAGGGCAGTTCCGGGGCAGGAGTCAAGCCAACAAACATGCAAAACCAAACCAAACAGAGACAAATTCTCCACCCTGATCCTCTGCTCCTTTCCAGCTCTATTAGGACACCTTCACAGGACCAAAAGGAGACTCAGAAGACAGAAGCTGCCTGGGACTCCATAGGGAAAGGCTGGCTTCATGAGCCCTCTGGCTGCAGTAGATCCTGGGGAGAAATCTTCAGGCTTGACCTTCAGGGGCCCTTCACCTGCCTCAGCGCCAGTATCCACCTCTTGCTGGACTTGTTTTGGTCAGAGCCTTTCTCTCTCCTTCCTCACCCTGTTGCGGCAGGAAAGTTCCAGGTGTCCTGGCAGCAGTAAGCTCCTTTGCTCCACCCTCTGCCCTGCACACCGGCTCCTGAGCTGACTGAAGTGCTACTGAACCAGAGTTGTTGTGACAGTGACCTGATCTGTGCGGCCACTCAGGTGGGAGCTGGACCCCTGGCATGAAACACTTCTGCTGTGAGCCCTGGGCAGCCTTCGCTGTGCTCTTCTTCACCACCACGCTCCAATACTCCTGTTCAGCAGGTATTTCTCTTTTCTTATGCTCCAGTGCCTATACCTTGCCTTTTCCCCCTGCTTCTCTCAACACCTGAATATATTGTCCACTGACAGTAATTTGCTCTGTAAAAACAAGGTGGACTCCCTTGTGTCATCTAAAAAGCATAAGGAGCTGGATTTGATTAATGCTGCTGAGAATTACTTGACATGTTTGATCACAGCATCTTTCTGAAGAGATGTGCTTTTGCCAGCTGTTCACAGAGCTGCTGTAATGTGGCTGAGCTGCAGGTTTCTGCACTGAACGGCAAGGAGATGGCAAAGCATGCTTGCTCAGCCTTCAGGTGCTTGCTGAGGCAAGGGACCATTTGAAACACCACCCAAGAGGCTCACCATAGTCCGGTTTAGGTCTTATGGTGTGCTTTTTGCAGGAAATCTGGCTTTGGTGCCCCCTTAATTGGAGAAGCTGCCTAAAAAGAAAATGTAAATGAGACCTGTAAGCAGCTCCTCTTCCATCAGGCTACTGCCTGCATTTGTATATCTGCACTGCTTGGGACCTGCCAGATGTTTAAAGCTGGGTTAGCTCGGCCAGCCTGTCCTTTGGGCTGGAAAGTCTATAAACATGAACCAATGCTCTGTATGCTGCAGCACTTCCTTCCACAGGTCACACACCGTTTTTAATGATTCTTCCCACTGCTGCCGTGAGGTATTTATTAACTCTCAGGAAAAAAAAATTATGGGCTTGGACAAGGTCATTCAGCAAATTCTAGTGAAAGGAATGGGGAGTACTCAGGCCCTTCCCTGGAGCAGGCTGCTTGGGAACCCAGAGCAGCCACAAGGAAAGCTCTGGTCTTGCTGATGGTCAGTCAGGATAAAATGCAAAGCTGGGCAATGGCAAGTGACCCAAGGGCAACACCTCCTGCAGGACAACCTCATTTATTTGCTGTTACTTGGAAAATACCAAACGCAAAGCAAAGGTTTTATCAAAGCTCTTATTCCATTTTGTTTTCCTGAGCTGAAACTAGCCTGAACCATTATTTTGAAGTCTTCAATGAAATCAAGCTGGAACCAATTTTCTCTCTCTCACACACTCCAAATTATGTGCTCAGCATGATGGTTTGACTGGAAATAGTTCTCTCATAGCCTCTGCCTGCCCTGTGGACCAGCAGCATGCTGGAGCCCTTGCTCCTGTAGCCTCTCCAGGCTGTGTTTCATGTATCTCTGCAGAGGACCATTTCAGCATGGGATACTTCACCTCACTGAACTTCAGGTGCCCTGCTCACAGTGGTACAGGAGGAGACACTTCTTTAACTCCTTTCCTTCTGCAGCAGAGGACAGGCTGGTGCTCATGCTCAGCATTACCATGCCCATGGGATACAGCTGACCACAGCAGCCTGTTCTCCTCCTGAGCAAGCGTCCTGCAGCTGTCCTTGCATCCGCTCCTGCAGCACTGTGAGGTGCACGCCGGAGCCAGGGGCAAGGGGGGTGTGAGGAGGTTTATGGAGGCTTTGGCCTGTGACACCACGTACAGATTTGGAGAGCTGAAGACCAGACACAGAGCTGTGCAGAGTGCACGTGTGCTCTGATTCTGGGTAGGAAGCAGGATTTAAAGAGGCAAAATCTTCTCTGAAGCCCCTGTCCTCCTTGCCCTTACTTATTTCTGTAACCCAAGCTGGTTATCCTGCTGGGCTGAACTGGAACCCAGCCAGAGCAGCTTCAGACACAGTGGTGCCCGAACAGCAGCAAAGCCACAGCTTCCCACCGAGGCTGTGGTGGGTCTGCTGAGGCTCTGTATAGAAGGGTTCAGCCCTCAGCTCTGTCAGACTCCTTTGCACCCTGGAATTACTGGGATTTTTCTCAGGGCAAAAGGATGTAGATGTACAGCTTGCTGGCCATGGATCTCCCTGTGCCACCGAACGCTCTCTCTCATTTCATTCCCTGCCCATTCTGTCCTTATAGCTTGGGGGTGTATGGGGGTTGATTTGAGCTCTGAATGAGTGGCTCACACCAATGTCACACTCAGGTAGAGGTGCAGTGATTCAGCTGCTCTTTATAGGTGGTACTAGAGCAGGTCTCTCTAGAGCTCATGTTGACAGTGGTGGGTGAGGAAGCATACCCTGGCTGTAGCAATGCTTAGGGGCAGGAACTTATTTTCTTCGAGTTGCTTCCATCCTACAGACCTCTGAAAGGCAAATGGCTTTCAAATTTCCATGCTTGATTGCTTTCCTAATCCAACTCACTGTTTTTCTGTGTTCCTTCTGGCAGCAGCTGAAAAAGTCTCCAATGTTTCAACAAACTCCATGTTCACAACTGAGTATGAAGCTCCATGCCTCAGTAAGTCTTCACAAATCATTCACTACTGTGACAAAGCCACATGATGAGACTATACAGGGGACTGAGAGGCTATGCTGAAAAAGGATTAATCTGTCGTCAAGACTTCTGTTGTGGGTGAAACTCTAGGGCACTTTTCTAAGTTTCCTCCATTGGCATGTCCAATATTATATCTTAGGTGCATTCAGATGGACTCACATCTTGGAACAGATTAATTCATAGTTAATTTAGTTTGTATATCCTGCCAGACTGCCTGAAGGCACAATGTAGATTCTCAAGAGCATCCTTCCCCCATCCTACCAGGTCTTTCCCAAAAAGCCAGTCTCAGCTAACCTGAGATCCCTGCCCATCCTCCCAGTCTTCCTCTGTCCCAAATGTCAAGCATCTCCACAGTCCTGCACTTCCCAAATTATAGGACATGTACCAATAGCTGTACGCTACTACAAAGCATGGGATAGGAGGCATCCCTCTCCCTTCTCTAGGCACATACAAAACACATTTCTCTGGTTGTGGGAACTGCTTCTCCTTCCAGTGCAGGACATCTGTACTGCGTGCACTGAAGCCCAATGCACAGGACATGGTCCTGCCTGACACACATGAAAGAGAACAACTGAGCAGCACCTAGACTTGCCTTCTCCCTGGAAATGTGCAGGAGGCTGGTTACCCTGCACCAAGCTCAGGAGGCATTCACTTTCACAGCTGACAACCTTCATGCACATCAACACACAGTGCATGTAACTGCTAGGTGGTTTTGGCTGCCTCTGCTCTCCTGGGTGTTGGAGTTTTATGCTCAGCTTCTATTCCACCTCAAGGAGACCACAGTCCTCCAGGCTCCCTTTGGTATTTCCACATTACCACCCAGGACGCAGACACAGAGCTGGGTATCTTCACTGAGCCATTATGATGGAAACAATATGGCAGATGCCTTTAAATAACAGCATAAATGAAATTAATAATGACATATTCTTTAACCAACTTTAGGAAATTTGACTCATTTAAACAAAAGGAAGATAGAAAAAGTGCAAGAAAAAATACAAGGAATTGTTAAAAAATATTTTCATTTTTAAGCACATAAATCAGAGATGCCCCAAAGGTGGCATGTTTTGCTGTTGTTACATGCAAGTCACAGTTAACAGCCCAGCAGAGAGCAGCCACTGATTCTGTTGCTAGCAGAGGTACTGGATACCTAAATGCTGAAGGTGTCTCTGCTAGAGATCTTCTTACTCTCTCACATGAAGGTTTCTCTACCCAACGTTTATTTTTAACAAGCTCCTTCTATCATAGTCCATTCCTAAAACTGACTGAGATGCTTTTTAAAAAATTTCTGTAATGGTGGGTGCAGTGGTAAGAGTATCAGCCAGTTCACACACTGACTCAGGTTTTTGCCAGACAGAGATGACCAAGTCTTAAAGACATACAGATGAAACTGAACATTGCCATCCCCGAGGTGAAGAGCCAGGCTTAGGGGAAAGATACCAAGGGACAGTGACAGGCTTCAGGGTAGACAGTGAAGTCACTGTTTCATCTGCAAAGAAAATCTGTTACATACTTGGTCTCGCATCAGCTCATTTCTTTTCTTTGCCACCAGACGTGAACTTCTGCATGCAAGCAGCCACGTGCTGCCCGTCGGGCATGGATGATTACGGATGGATTGCAGCGGCTGTCGGCTGGAGCCTCTGGTTTCTGACTCTCATCCTGCTCTGCGTGGACAAGGTCACAAAACTCCGCCCTGATGAACCCAAATACTTGGTGGCCTGAAGCAGGGCAAACCAGCAAGCAGCAGCACCTGGGAGCAGTGAGGTGCAGACAGCCTGACAAAGCATTTCAATCACTTCCTAAGAAACAAGAAAGAAAGGGAACGTACCTTTAGCAAAAAAAGCTAGATCTAAGCAGGGCACCTGCTAAGCAGGGTTTCATCTTCCCCAACAGGTCCGAGCTACCAGTCAGGGCATGGAGCAGGCAAGTCCCTGCAAGACACCACATACATCCCACTGTGCACAGAAAACCTTTTCCCTGAGTCCTTTCATGCTTGCTGTGAGTGTGCCAGCAGCAATGAGATGCTGAAGGACAAGTTACCAGTCTATAGTACACTGCCTTCAGACAACCCAGCACATAACCTTTGACTTTGAAATAGAAAGTGGGCAAGTAAAGCTATTTTCTTGAGGATCAGTGTTACCAGATCCATTACTAAGCTACAGGCCAGGTTACATCAGTAGGAGGATATAACTCATTGGTTATACTGAGTCCTTTTCACCCACCGACTCACTGATAACCAGTGAAAACTCTGTTATGGAACCGTAAGGATTGTTTGTGCTGGCTTGAAATTAAAACTATTTTTTCAGTGCAGTTTATATGTGAATTGTTTTGTAGGAATTGAATGTTGGTTGCATTTATTCAGCTTGCACCTGCCCATATAACTAAGCCAAGCAGAAGAGTGGCAAGCAAGTTTAAACCAGCATATCCAATCTATGCACAAAACTACTCCTATTACACAACATGACAATAAATACCCTTATCAACAGCAAGATGCTCACTGGCTGGTTTATATCAATAAAGCTTATATTAGCAAGGAATTACCCAATCCAAATTGTTAGAAACATGGTTCTAACAAGTAATATTCATGCAGGAGAGTTTGTCTCACTGCAGCCAAACTGCCTGGTCTGGGGCAATTGCACCGGTTTGAAACATTAAAACCAAAAAAAGCTCTTCTGGGGATTTATCAAATACCTATATCTATTAAATACTATTAAAGCCTCCCTTTGGCTTATCAGTGCATAACTTTTCCGGTTAGAAAAGATACTAACCATTTTAAGACTCTCCAAATTGATTCTGGCACAACTAGACACTCAGATCAAGACAATGCTGTGCCATTTCAGAGTGATGGGCAGTCATCCCTTGTCAACTATCCACCATCAACAGCAATGGGTACAAGCCAGACAGTGAGGAAAAGACATCCTTCCCCATCATTAGTGTCACTTGACACAAAAAATATTCCAGAGTGAAATGTTGAGCAGAGGCACTAGCATCAGGAAAGAAAATTTTGAAAGCAATAGGCTTAATTTTTTTGTGGCTTTTTACTCTGTGTGTTTTGTTTGGTTGTTTATGGTGGGGTTTTTTTGTTCTTTTATTTCTTTTTACATGCACCACACTACTAGTGGTAAACAATCACAAAATACTGCCCAATTCAGAAAAAAACCTCAACATTTCAACATAAAACAATTAAAACAAGAGTATTTTTCACCAGAGAAATCTCCATGTTGGATCAGCCAACTACTTTCCACAAATAAATATATATAAGCTCAAATATGTACAAACTTACAGAAACAAAGGACTCTACATCTTACTGTTGGGGTTGATTGAAAGAACGGTGAGTTGACAGTTAATAAGCACTGCAATCACTGATGGGTAACAAATGTCTGAGCTACATACATCATTTTTTCCCTGATTTATTAGTTTTAACAGTGGAAAATGTGCATTGGCCTGAAAGCAAATGCGATAGACACCATGAAAAAAATTTCCACATACTGCCTTAGTGTCTGTTTTCTGCAGAGTTTTTCCTACAGGTCTCCCGGCTGGGAACACAGAAGCTCCTGCTGGACATGGCATTGGTTTTGATCTTTGAGGGGATATGTTTCACAGCTTTCACAATTCCTTAGCTAGGCAATGAGTGCATGGATGCAGCCAGTCATGGAAGCAAGTCTATTCCAGTCTCAAGATTTGTGAGCACTTGACACAAGCTCTAGGTGTCCTGTAGCCCAGTGCTACACCCACAAACTAGCTTCATAATGGGGGGCTTCCTAAAGCCTGCTTTGAAAAGCACAGGTTGGTTGTTTTTCACTCTTCAAAATAGTTTGCTTGTTTGCAGATACCTTCATGGAATGTAGAGTCAGGTTTTGCTTCTCACAGCATCTCTTCAGCTCAGCCAAACTGGGGAAAAAAGGAAAAAACCCCACTGTTTTTCATATAATGTAATGCCTCCAAGGATTTTGTATACCTATGTTCAGGGGTGACACCCGAGTCCCAACAAAATCAGGTATACAAATAGAATATCATGCAGATATACATCATACATGCTGTGAAATGTATACTTTTTCTAGACCAGTGACTTGTAAACCTCTGGTCTAGTGTAAATGTTTTGTTTCCTTACTGCATCATCTGCTTCGACATCTGACATGGCCAGGTTTGATTCATAGTCTCTTCTTTTCCAGCCATTTGACTTCCTATAAAGTGAACTGAGTCACTTAGAAAAATGTAGTCTTGTAATAAATTTCATGAACATAATACTACTCCCAGTGTGTTCTGGCATTCCTAAACAAAGTGCTACTTTCTTGAAAGCTCAAAGGCTACCAGTGTAAATATACGTTCCTATGCAATATAGAACAACAACAAAAAAGAAGAATTTTAAAGAGACTCTCTGAGGTACAGGCTATGTGTGGTACTGACCCTAGCCATGGTGGGCAAGGACAAGTACAAAGCAAAGCAATATACCATACAAAAGGAAGGGAAAACCCCCAACTGTACTGTCAGTGTTTCAGGGGCTTTGTCAATAGTTACAGAAAATGCAGAATAAAAAAATTGCACCCAAAAAATATGAAAAATTGATATAAAGATACAAATTATTATGGAGAAATAGGTTATACATACTTAATTTACAGTAAATACCATCTAAATATTATCTGTGGTCTGCTGCCACATTTCCTGGAGTATCTTTAGCTAGGAAACACACAGTAGCAAAGCCTGTAGGTAATAACCCTTTTTTTAAGACCAGGCAAGCCACGGTAGAAGACTGCAGTCTGATTTTGATGCACAAATTAAAGGTGACTTTACAGTACAATTCCTTATAAATGTGGTCCACAAGCAATATCACAGACTGGTGTACTCATTTGTTTTGTATTCGTCTCATGTTCCAAATATCAGCACTGACATTATAATACCTTTAATAGTAGGTCCCCAAATAATTTAATGCTGCCCAAGTCCTGTGGACTTCAAGGGAGCTACATGTACATCCAGCACATGCCTTGTTCTGTTGTTTGGGATTTTTTCATTGTAATTCAGGAAGCCTGTCATCTTTGTTCCCAAAGAAAATCTTGGAAACAAAACATAACTCTTGGTTTATCAGCATACGTAAGTGATTTCACGTATGTTAAACCTTGGTGCTCCTTCAGACTGTGACATATGATGTCACACATCTCAAAGCATGTAAAAAGTAAGATGACAGCTCATATCACCTATTAAGCTGCAAACTACCCTCTCAGAATGATGATGGAAATGTTTAATGCTCCAGCCACAGATCATACATTATCCAGTCAAATTCTATGTCCTTGGATCAAAAAGTTCCTTGCTGGAACGAGATGGAGAAGAAAACTATTCCAGCTCATACAATTTAGTATGAAGGAATGCAGAAAAAAAAAAAAAAGGTTGAAACCTGGATGGCTGAATAAAAGTAAGTGTGATTGAAAAATATGAATTTTAACCCTAAGGTTGCTTATCAAACCAGAGCAGTTCTTCATGCTTGCTGGACAAAGTTTCTGAATGTCAGGCATGAATGTATGTAGTGCCTGGAAAGGAAAGAGAGACACAGATGGCACCTGGGAGAGCTGCTGGTCCACAAGTGTCTTGGACAGAAAAACAGCAGCAGGGACATGTAACTAATCAGCACTTCTAACATCAAAAGAGAAAAACATTAGCAGCAGGACAGAATTCTGGCATAACTATTTTAATTTGCCTGGAGATAATATCAATCACATGTGACTAGTGATTTCTTAAATTCTTAATTCAAGACTAAATGGATTGGTACTTGATGCATGACTCTTCATCTTTTTATATACTATTGCTTTGGTAATGACTCACATTACTCAGTGCCTTTATCCTTGGGGTCTTAGTGAATGAGCTACATATTAAGCAATTGCACTTTACAATGATTACACTTTGCAAAAACCACTAGAGGGATGAAAACTGGCAAGCATCAGAGCTTCCTACTTGCATGAAACACACAGAGAAAACACAGAGGTTAAATTCATAACATAATGTGCTCTATACTGGAACTTTGTAGGAATGTTGATAAAGTCATCACAAAAAACTATGATTTCAGAAAATTATTGTAATTAATTACAGCCAAAGAATGAAACATAACCATTCTTGGAAAGCAATCACCCTCTCTTTCTTACGCTCCAGATGTCACTTATTTTATGGCATCAGTGGCAGCAGAATCTGTTGTGGAATTCAAACATCGCTGCAGGATTCTGTCCAAGAATCAGACATGCACTTTTCAAAGAGCTTATTTACAACTCCTATTTCACAATTGCCTTCCAGAAATAAACATGAAGTAAACAATGCAGTATTGTCTCTGAAGTCTGCAAACAGCTTGGAAAAAAAAGTACATCTCTAAGAGATGCACAGACTTCTCCTGTCCAGTTTGATGGTATAAAATTTAGAGACACATTCAGTGAACTATTTTGCTCATCTATCAGAAATAATGGCTTACGGGCCCCAGTGTCTTGCTAAAATAAAATGCCCCCAGAATTGACTTATCCCACCAAAAAGAAAGCCTCTGTATTCACAGGGGAAGTGTCCAGTCTCAATGCCCAGAAAACAAAGCTCTGTTCCAAACCCTACCTGTCATGGTGCCTTTGACTCTAAGAGCTAAAGGGTTAAACTAATTGTAAAAGTTTACATTTTCTCCCTCTGCCACTGTGAGTATTAGTCACATCTCCTATGTTTAAGCCTGCCAGGTGCCTACTTTTGGGACAGTGTAAACT